GATAGCATCTGGATATAAGGTGTCGAAGGAAAAGTTAGAAGACCGGGTTGAAGTTCGAGGGAGAATGATGGCAACAAGATTATCTGCATCTGATATAGAGATGTCGAAGTTGGGTTACGTAGATGAGGAAAATTTCCAAAGTTTTTGCAATTGACAGCCTAACAGAAATAGATTAGAGGAAGCCAATAATAGATTATCTGGAAAATTCCACAATAGCTGTAGAGCAAAAAATCAGGTACCACACTATAAGCTATACTCTTATGGGTAACGAATTGTTCAAAGAGACACTTGGAGGAATTTTGTTCAAATGCCTTAGTGAAAGTGAGGCATATCTGACTCTTTCGAATATCCACAATGGGGCATGTGGAGCCCATCAAGTTGGACACAAAATGAAATGGCTACTATTTAAACAGGGCATGTATTGGCCAGTAATGCTGAAAGATTTCACTGAGTTCGCTAAGGGTTATCAAGAATGTCAGGTTCATGCAAGTATTCAATAAGTTCCTGCAAGCGAACTACACTCCATTATCAAGCCTTAGCATTTTAGAAGATGGGCTTTAGATCTGGTAGGAGAGATTCGACAAGCATATTCAAAAGGTCAAAGATAAATTTTAGTGGGGTTGATTATTTGACTAAATGGATCGAGGCCATTCCTTTGGAAAATGTAGATCAAGAAGCAGTAGTCGAGTTTATCCGAAGGAATATAATATACAGGTTTGAAATTCATGAGACCATAACATCTCATCAATAAGGTGGGAATTAAACTGCTAACACTCACACCTTATTATGCCCAGGAAAATCGCCAGGTCGAAGCGACAAATAAAGTAATGATTGGTTTAATAAAAAAACATGTGGGAGAGAAGCCAAAGAACTGGCATAAGACCCCAGACCAAATCTTTTGGGCCTCCTAAACATCTCCTTAAGAAGCTACCAATGCTACACCCTTTCGATTGACATATGGTCATGACGCGGTATTACCAATCGAAATATGTTTACAATTAACCAAGATACAAAGACAATATGAGATTCCATCAGAATCATATTGGAATATGATGTTAGAAGAATTGGTTGGTTTAGACCAAGAAAGATTACACGCCTTAGAGTTATTAAGAAGGTAGAATAAAAGAGTAGAGAAAACCTATAACAAAAAGGTTAAACTCCAAACCTTATCAATTGGTGATTTAGTTTGGAAAGTGATCCAACCTATGGATCAAAAGGATAGAACTTTGGGAAAATGGTCCCCAAATTATTCAAGCCTTTTCAAACAATGCTTATGAAATCGAAGAACTAGCAGAAGATCAAAGACTTCTAAGAGTAAATGGTAAATATTTTAAAAAATATAAACTTGCACCACAAGAAGTCAAAATATCAACGAAGTAAATTTGAATGTGTTATAAGTGCCAAAATGGCAAGACTAAAAGTGAAAAAATGGTTTAAGTTATGCGTTACAAAATATCTAAATTGTTTGAGTTCGTAAAGCAGAAAGTAACATATTTCAGCAAGTGTTGAACTCAATCGGGAGATAGAAGCAGTTGCGTAAGTTACCATATTACTCCTAGTTTATAGGGGTAATCATCATTAGATGCTACGCACGTCTCGATGAGAATTTTTGGGAAAAGTGGCCATGATGACCATAACGTCACGACAATGTTGGCAGTTAGCGTCGAGAAGTCTTGTAAAAAATTTCCTTTTCTAAAGTTATCGAAAAGAAGCATTTTTGGGGGACAATTTATTTGATGTAATTTAGAAACTCCAACGAATAGAGGATTCGAGGAAACTTTGAAAGAAAGGTGTTTGGGGGAATAAAAGCTAATTTCGACAGGAGTTAGTAGAAGATGTGTTTCGACCGAGTCTGCATGAATGAAGTAATACAAGGCGAATGACTTAGTAACTTTTCTGAAGATATTTCAAAGCGGGTTTGACAAATACTCAATATAAGGCTATAATTGATTTTAGGGCTTATCCGATCTTTGAAAAAGGATACTGGAAGCCTGTGAAAGGCTAGAAACATGCAATCGAGAATGTGTCATCCTCTAAGAAGAAGACCGTTCGTGGTAGTTAGTTTTGAATTAGTATATATAGGAGTTTTTATGTTAGAATTATGTGTGTTCACTTATTTGTACAAATTACTCAAAATAACTCAAAGTACCAAGTGTTAGAAAAATGAGTTTGTTGAGAATGTACGTATGAAGCACCAATTTTATATTCAATAATATTCAATTTCAATAAAATTTCTTTATATTCCATTTAAGTTTCAGTCGAAATTGATTTACATTCCAATCTTTATTTTAAGTCTTTCATTACTACTTTCGAAGTAACAATCTCTATCGAAGAGATTGACACCCAAAAAACTTAGAAAACAAAATATATATTATTGTCATAGGATCAATCTAGTCGATCCTGCAAGCAATCAGAATTTCTAGGATTCAGAAGACTAGCGTTTGTTTACTAAATTTCACATTAAACACACACCCATTCCATTAAAAGCTACATTCCTCAATGCAAAACAATTTTTGTCTTCAATAAAAACATTGTTATTATTACTTTACTTCATCTCTAAGTCAACTCGTTGCAGAACTCAATGAACTTGAACATCTATCCTCCTTCACGACATTTTTTTGGTTCCATCTTTTTGCAAAAATTCCTGACAAAGATGCTCTATTATTGTCAACCATCTACCAGAGACACCATTACACTCTCAAGCCCTTACCAAATCACTTTTCAATCCTACAATTTTTCTCCAGGGATATATGAGTTTGTTGTAGAATAAATCGATGGTTAAGAGGCTTATATCTATTATAAGGTGTTTCCTATCACTAACAAGGTTGGGGATGTGTGTGTGTGTGTGTGTGTGTGAGAGAGAGAGAGAGAGAGAGAGAGAGAGAGAGAGAGAGAGAAGTAGCAGATGAAATAAAGGGTTTGTGATGTCGGGTGGAATGGAGACAGATTGATGATGAAGGTTTCTGTCAGAGAGATCAAAGTCATTGACATGGTAGGTTTGTATGTTGTCGTTGCATGAATCACTATACCATGTGTTATTACAATAGTCAGTGATTGGATCCTATGAAAAAGTTTTGTTGGTTATTGGAGCCAAAAACATTGATGGCAGAGGTTGACACTAGCAGGGCCAGCTTAATGTTGTCATAGAGGTGAATATATTAGATTAGGTTATTACCACATAAGGAAACACCACTGACCTCGACACCACAATTATGGATTGATGATGTCGAGATCATCCATAAGCTCTTCTCCTAATCTGATATCACATCCGCTTCTTTGGATTCATCTTTGTCGTCTTAATCCTCGTCATTATACCCGTCACGTGCGGTAGCGTTATCGTCATCGCTCCTGATAGAAGCATCATGTGGGTTGAACTTGAAGCTCGAGTTAAATTTATTGGGGCATCCCACGGTGGGCGATAATTGTACTTACAATAATGAGAACCCTACTTGTGTAGGAGACAGCAAGATAACATTTGATAACTGAATCAGTAAAAATTGAATGATCTTTCAAACCCTAAAGATTATAGTATTTATAGATGTAGCCCATGAGTCAAGTTGTAGATGAAGGACCGGATCTAAAATCCATTTGCTTGACTAGAATATGGGATTAGGAGGAACAAATCTTTCACCTTAATAGGAAGGGCAATTACATAGAACTAGAAGGTAATGTTGCGGTAACTTTTCTCATACGTGTGTGGATACTTATTAATGCGCTTAGACTAAATTGGACAATCTATCTCTAAGGGTCAATTGACCAGGTCAGAAGAGCTTACGTGTTGGTCATGTCATGTTGCCCTTATCCGCCTCACTCCTCTTCTAATATTTTCGGGTCGGGTATGATATAAAGGATCTAGACAAGTTATCACAGTTCATCGTTCTTCATGAACCTTGCCACTATTGTAATAATTAGATTAGCCTAGACACGTCTTTGTACTGCTTCTAGTTTTTTCTATAAAATTTTTTTTAATAGAAATAATTATTTATTTAAAATAAACCATAATAAAGTAATATTATTTTAAGAATTAGTGTGGGAATTAAGAATATCGAATTTAAAATAGACTATAATATAAAAAATAATATTAATATAATTTTAAAGGAAATAAACTAGTAAAGACTATATAAAATTATAATGTAGTATGAAATGGGTCAATGGTGGTAATTGGTAGTGAGAGAATTTACAAAATGAAATAAATTAATAGTGCTTAGAGAATTTATTTTTAAAAATATTTGAGGATAAATTAATGGAGACAATGTATAACTATTATTTAGTAAATTCATCTCATATTAATAAATTTTAATAAATAATTTTGTAGAAAAAATATATTTATAAATATGATAAACTAAAAGAAAAATTGCACATAAAAAACTAAAAAAAGATAGAATGCATTATTGTAATAACAAAAATTATAATTTGTATGAGAATTATTTCAATAACACTAAAATATTGATTGCTTTGATTTAAACTTCTAGAGACATAGCTTTGGATGTTAAGAAATTGAAGCAGGCCATCATGATCCATGCATCAAAAAAGAATTTTGTTGATATCAAAAAAGAATGATCATCACACAAAAATAAAAATAATAATATTTTTTCATTTACTTTGTTGTGTGGTTCACGCCATGCATTGGATTAAAGCATTGAAACTTCAAACAAATACTAAAAAATTATTATCCATATTTAGTAAACGCCATGCCACTTCTTTAGAGCATCTCAAAATGCACTTACTCGATTATTTGCTATATAAATACGTATTCAAACTTAACTTCTATAATTTAATTAGTACTTGATAATTAATCTTCTTATTAATTACACTTGCACATTTCTCTTCCAAGCGTTCAGGTATGTTTCTTCATCTTCAAACCAATGTATATAGATAGCAACTTTAGTGAAAAAACTTTGTTATTGATTATGGTTAACATAATGTCTTCTTTAAACTTAATTCTAGATCTTAAATGATTTTTTAATTAATTATTTTTGCTACTAATTATACAGATCAACATGAAGTTTATGACTCAAGATTGGATGTTTTCTTTAGCAATACTAATACTAGGACTAATGTCTAGTATACCACGTTCATCAGCGATTTCTGAAAATAATAAAAACAACGTTAAAACAACTGTTTTTTATTCACCTAAAATCGAACTAAGTCCAGGATTTATTTCAAACAAAATATATTATGATGTTGATTTTCCAAGAGGTCACATTGCACTCAAAAGTTTTCATGCCGAATTAGTTGATGAACTAGGAAACTCTGTACCTCTCCAAGAAACATATCTTCACCATTGGGTTGTTGAAAAATACCAACAACCTAAGAATGTACCAAACAATTTCCAAATAGATAATATTATCTTGGTAAGAAATAGTGGATTATGTCAAGGTGATGTTCTAGGACAATACTATGGTCTTGGAGCTGAAACAAGAGGCACAAAAACATATATTCCTGACCCTTATGGAGTAGAAATTGGTAATCCAGAAGAAGTTCCACAAGGGTATGAGGAAAAATGGTTGATCAATGTTCATGCAATTGATACGAGGGGTGTAAAAGATAGAATGGGGTGCATTGAATGTAAATGTGATTTGTATAATGTTACAATAAATGCTTTAGATGGAAAGCCTTTGGATCCAAGTTATAAAGGAGGTTTAGGATGTTGTCCTGATAATGGTCAATGCAAAATGAAGAAAGGTTTTATGGGTCCAAAACATGTCATATATTTAAAATACACAATTATGTGGATTAATTGGAATGATTTTGTGGTGCCTGTTAAGATTTATATACTTGATGTGACTGATAGTTGGAAAAAATCATATGAAACCAATGGAATGATGAGCATAGAGCATAATTGCCAGGTAAGTGGAATCGTATCTCAAAATTATATATATGACTTCTTTTTTTTAGGATTGAGTATATGATATTATTTGGTATGTATATAGGTTGAATATCTAGTTGAAGCTTGCAGCAAAGGTCATGATTGTGTTGATGTTAGGAGAGCAAGTGTTCCTATAAAAAATGGTGGTTATATTATCTATAGCATTGGTCATCAACATGTAGGTGCTATTAGATCAACTCTACGTGGTCAGGTATATACGAGATTAACTTTTATTATTTTTTAGTTATACGATGTGTTTCAGAGCCGTCTCAAATATTTATAAGATATGTGTAGGTTAACTATGATTTAACTGTGACAAATATTATATGAGATTTTATTTAGTTACAGTTTAACCGTGATAAATTTTAGATTTTATGTGATAGTCCGTCTATTTTACACACACTCAATGACAATCCTGATGGTGTTAGGAGTCTCACTGAGATTAGGCCTGATTTTTAAAACATTGCTTAGAAACTATGGAAGCATTATATTTTCTCTAAAAGTTTGATTGTGGCTTATTATTGTTAGGATGGGAGGGTTATATGCAATTCATATCCAAAATATGGAACCGGAAAGGAAGCAGGAAATGAAAAAGGGTATGTTGTAGCAATGTCAGCTTGTTACCCTAAACCAGGTTCAATCAAGTTATTTGATGGTGAAATTTTAACAATAGAAACTATCTACAACAACAGCATGATGCATACTGGAGTAATGGGACATTTCTATTTCTTGGTGGCAGAAAAACTACCACACCACAATGTTTAAAATTCCAATCCCTGCTTAAGATCTTTTTACATGTGGATTGAGGACTATTTTGTTGTGTCTGAATAAGTCAACTTTGTTATGTTGAATAATTGGTTAAAATGAGATGTTGTAACAGTTATTAGTATATCTTATTGTACAAATAGTTGTTGCAACTTTAGGATAAATCTTGTGTTTGGCCTCATTCTATAATGTAACAACTAGTATCAGTTTGTAATACAATTACATTTTAAGCGGAAGTTGAAGTTCTTAGTAAATTTTGTATTTTGGATCTTGATATCATGATTTTTATGATGTTCTAATTTTTATAATAAACACTAAAAGTGTATCTGGATCTATGACGTCGATTTTTGTCCGGTTCTTGATTCTTGTTTTTAATTATTCTCTCCTCTTTTCCTTCTTACTTTTGTGTGTTTTTGATGATGAAGATATTTTTGTATATTTGTGAGAAAATGAGAAGGAATGAGAAAAGTTGATGTTGTTTGCCTAAAGGTGCATTTTTATAGGCATTTTATTTCAAAAGTCACAACTCATTCCTAAGAGTCATATCCCTATAGTCATGAAGAGAGAGAAGAGGGATTTAAATTTTATTTTAGAGTTTCAAAATAAAAACTTCATTGACTTAATTATCCATCAATTGAAATCACCATCACATTAAGGTATCTTTTATTTAACGTCAAACTTTTAATTACATGAGTCATATTTAATGGATTAATAAAATTAATTCAATGGTGTCCCACATGACTCATGTGGCAACTTGATGTTTCAATCTTATGCCATAATTTTGGGCACCATTCATTGGAAGCACCAAGTCATTATCTTTAATGAATGGAAATGATCGGATGATGGCAGTCACAAGTTATTCATCAACTTGATTCCTTCCATGTATCATGAATCAATCTAATTCAAATGACTTTAAGGGATACAATAACGTGTCTTTCATATCTTTTAAAAAAAACACTTTTGTCATCACATATTAACAATAATGTATACAATATAATATGGATAACAAAATAAAGTAGAAAGATAATCTTAATTGAATTCACAAGTGTCATACAATACGAACATTAAGTTTTTCATGTATATATGTTCAAATGACACATTAAGCTCTACATGGCCAACAAATATTTTGGAGAGTAAATCTTAGTTAACGGATCCGCTATCATTAAATATGTACCAATATGTTCAAATGACACATTTTGCTTATGCACTTCTTCTTTCACTAATAAGTACTTCGATTTCATGTGTTTAACGTCTTTTTGAATACTTTTCATTCTTAGAGAAGAAGACAGTTGCAAAATTATCACATTAAATTCTTAGATGCCTAACTATATTATTGACGATACCAAGCAGTAAGGTAAAATTCTGCAACTACAATGATTTAAATGTGACCTCAAAGCATGTCAAAATTCTGCAACTACAATGATTTATATTGTCCTTCTGGTTGTAGTATGACTCCCACACCTCGGGAACTCCTTCAAGTTTTTAAACTTTTTTCTATATAATATGCAATCATTACGACATACATGTACACATAGTCCAAACCCATTGGACACAATATCTTCTTGGCCTCATAACTATGGTTCGACAACGTGTTACTTTTTTGAAGCATTTATTTCAACAATTCAAGAAATTTAGTGAAATTTCTATCCCTTCACCCATCTCTTGGCTTAAGATTAAATAGTCTTACCACAACGAATAATCTTGTAAAAAATTTACATCTCAGATACAACGACTATTTCATGTCTCTTTCAAAGTATCTACCACACCAGCTTTCTTGAAAGCATCTACTCCAATATCACAAATCATGTCTTCTAGAGTATCATTTATAAATTCATCATCTTCAACTGTATGTGAAAGATGTCTCTTTTTTGCTATACCCATTTCATGTAATTTTGAGTAATTTCATCACAACTTAAACGATTGAATATATCTTTCTTTGGATGTTTTTTGTATTTCGACCATTTTTACAAGGACACCAAAAAATATCATTATTTTTAGGAAGATTTTTTTCCGCGAAATCAAGAAATTGTATCACTCAATTCTCATACTATTTACTTAATCTATTGATTTTTATCCAACTACGATCCATAATCACATAAAACTTATGAAAATAAAATAAAAATAATACACAGCCAACAAAAACAAATCTTCTCAATAAACAACAATATAGTAAATTGTATATGTCTCAAAATAATAATAACAACAACGACAAAAACAACAACAACAACAACAAACAACAATAGTAATGAAGAACTTGTACATATCTAAAATGTGATGAGAGACTAAAAGAAAATTGTTGGTTCTTTCGTTCTTCCTTCCTCCTTTGAGAAGAATGGTGTTCTTTCGTTGACTGGAGAAGAATGGTGTTCTTTCGTTCGCTAGGGCTCAAAAAGTGAATGATCTAGATTTAACATTAACTCTGAAGGAATAAAAAATTTAGGGAGTTTTTATCTCAATTTTCTTAAAAACTAAGGGAACATATCCGACGTAAAATCTATAAATAATAAAGACGTCTTTTTTGTTCTAAAAAGAATTAAAAAAATAGAATTTTTATCTCAATTTTCTTAAAAACCGAGGGATCATATCCGCGTAAAATCTATAAAAATTAAAGACGTATTTTTGGTTCTAAATAAAACATAAAATTGTAAGAGTAGGGAATAGAATCTCAAACCTGAGCAACTTTTTATGTCAATTTTGATGATAATCGAGGAAAAAGATTAAATATTAAAAAAACACGTTTTATATCATTTGATCTTGGTTTTCAATTACTGAGATAGATATTTTGTCATAAAAAAATATTATTTATAATAATGTATTACAATTCATATTTGTTTCTATTATATTCAGATTAGCTTAAACACGTCTTGTTATTGTTGATTTAATATATATTTTTAGCTTTTTCTAAAAAATTATAAATTAAAGGGAAAAAGATTTATTTATAATAAACCAAAATAAAATAATATTATTTTAAAATTACTGGTACGAGTTAACAATATCAAATTTAAAATAAAATAATATTAATAAATTTTAAAGAAAATAAACTAATAGTGACATCCTACAAATATGGTTTAGTATGAAATGAGTTACTGGTGGTAATTTTTGGTGCACAAAGGTTAAAGATGAAAATGAATAAAGAAGAAGAGAGAGAAAGATGGCTACAACAAATTTGTAGAGAAAGAAACTCTATACACAATTATATTAATTTTCTTTTTAAAAATTCTAGCTACAAATTTATTTATATACACAAAATAAATTGTTACGTAGGCCCTAACAAAAGTATGCTTAATAGCTAAGCAAACAACTAATAATAGCTTTTAGAAAATGTCAAACTACTGCTTCTAATTGAATAGTCTCAAAAACTTACAGCTTCTGACAAACAACCTCAGAGGCTCTACTACTTTTAAGCAACATTGCTTCTGATTAATAGTCTCAGAAGCTTATGACTCTAACAAAAACTTATGGATATGAATTACTTCTAACACCATCCCTTAATTCATATTCAGCTAATTAAAATCTACAACACTAATTTCATCTCTCAAACGTATAAAGTATTCATTCTTGACATCCTTCGTCAGAATATCTATAATTTGCTTCTGGGTGCTACAGTGTGCAACTTTTAACACTCCATTTTAAACTTGACTTCTCAGAAAATGGAACTTCATGTCAATGTACTTGCTTCTTCCATGCAGCGTTGGGTTCTTGTCAAGCCTTATAGCTGATTTGTTGTCAATCATCAACTTCACAGGTTTTCTCACCTTGATCTTCAGATCCTTCAACAAATTCATTAACTAGACAGCTTGACACGCAATCAAAGCACCTGCAATATATTTAGCTTCACAAGTTGACAACGCAACCACTGATTGCTTCATGGAACACCAAGAAATGGAACTTCACAGGTATTTGCATAAATATCTAGAAGTACTTCTTCTATTAACTCTATCTCCACACTAATCAGAGTCTGAATAAGATATCAGCTATGCTTAATTTTTAGCACCGAAAGGGAACAACACTCCATACCACAGAGTCCCTTTAATGTACCTCAGAATCTCAAGTTCTTCTTTCATGGCCTTCATCCAAACTTTCTTCTTGAGAGCTTCTTCAGTACTAACTGGTTCAAAGTCTACTAACATGACACACTGAACGACTTCTCCCTCTGAGTATACTTCAGTATCTTGCAACATGTCAAACTCTATGAATCTCGTTGGTGTTTATATGATTCTTATAGCCTTTTAACTTGTTCAAAATCTTCTTCCAATTCTGGAACAATATTAGATGTCGGAGCACCTTCAGAGGGTAGACCACCTCCAAAAGCTCCACCTTCAGAGGCATGACCATCTTCAGAAACTCCACCTTCAGAAGCATGACCACCTTTGAAAATTAGATTACCACCCAATTCTGGATCATCATTAGAATCTCGATCAGAATCAAATTTACTTTCAGAATCAGTCTCACCTTCAGAGTTATCTTCTGCTTCAGAGTCACCTTCAGACTCTGACTCATCTTCAGAGTCTCCTTCTGACTCTGACTCATCTTCAGAACCTTCAGAATCATCTTCTGACTTTGATTCGTCTTCAAAACCTTCAAACTCAGAATTATATCAGAAGTACCTTAGGTGTTAACACTACACCAAAGTTGGATTGAGACTTGCTCCAATCCCATACTTCTGACTCCTTCACAATGACGTCTCTACTGACTTCAGCTTCAGAGTCATCTTCTGATTCTTACTCATCTTGTGAATCAGACTCGACTTCAAATTCAGAGTCAACTTCTGACTCTGACTCATATTCCAAGTCTCCTTCAAAATCAAAATTTTTCAATCACACAGGTTTATCATCATATTCATAAGCCATCAATAGCACGGGTTCATCATCAGAATCTCCTCTGGCTATGTTTTATTTTTCCTTGTTTGACCAACAATCTTTAGCAAAGTGGTCAAACATATTACAACAATAACATTGAACTATTCTCTTGTAAAGCTTCTCCTTTCCCTTTTGATGTTT